GGGGGCAGAGGATTTTTCCTCTAGCCTCTGAGTCCAGAACGGCTCTAGGTACCCATTTTACTATCAAACGGGTAACGGGGATTCTTTCCAGGGAATATAATGTGGCCGGAGCGTGACGCTGACCACTCACCCCCATCTAGTGCTGAGGTTAAGAATGAGTAGGAGTTATAACATCTCACTACTCACGCGAGTTTTTATTTTTTTATTTATTTAGTGTTCTGTCTGAGGACAGGTCCATATGACCAGGATCCTTCCATCCTTTTCTCGGACTGGGACCTGTTCATATACGTTCTTGGCAGATGATCCAGAAGTGGTTTGCCATTGCCTTCTTCTGTGTGTGAATGGGATGCCACGGAGAAACCGGGGAAGCCCCCGGAGGAAAACTCCGTGTTGCCTAGACCACGGCCTTGCTCAACACAAGTTATAAATTCGGGCACAGCCGGGAATCGAACCCGAGACCCCAGGATTACAAGGCCAGCGTTCTAACCGCTAAATAACTTCCAATGCGTAGAGTCTACTTTCAGTGGAATGTGACTTATTTGTGTAAGGGAATTGAATCAGGGTAGAAAAACAAAGAATGTTACTATACAGTTTTAGAAAACATTTATTATTAACTAACATCAGTTCCTACCTCCGTGTCTGTGTATGACCACGCATGATATGAAGCGATGGGGCGAATGTTGTCTCCGCGTGGCGTCATGTAGCTTCTTCGAAACAGGTCCCATCAATCAGACGAAATATTTCGCCATAGAACGGGCTTAATTTGTCCTAAATATTAATAATGTGTTGTATCTTAATTTTCCCATGTCACATTTTTAATCTTTCGGTCAGCAGTTTTTGAGCCTCCCCAAATTTAATTTCTTACTTACCATCGAAACAAATAAGGACATTTTTTTAAACTGGTTTTAATTGGTATTATGCTGATTTTTTGTGAAATCAAATACAGCTGTTCAGTGCATGTGTCCCTGTACCTGTCCTTGGGGGCCTCCTGATTTGAAGGACGTTGTGATTTTGTAGTTAGGTCACACGGCGTTGGAATCCAAGGATAGGAATCGACATATACTTTGCCGTGACAATCTCAAATGTGTTATCCCCCCCGGTGTGTTTCGTATAATTTCAGCCATCTTCAGTGGTTTCACGTGTTATAATTCTTATACCTCAAAAACGATTAATATATTTAAAAATATATATAAAAAATTTAAAAATACACAGATTACATATTTATGCCTAGTCATTTTGTATGTTACTTATAGACTTTCTTAGTATCGTTTGCTGCTGAATTTAAAATTACTGTGGGGCTTTGTTCTAATGTGTTCTGTTCCTGATGTGACCTTGAATATCATGCAAACTTTTTCTCATTTCTTATACGATTTGGTTACTTATGTGATCATGTGATGTATGTTACATGTGTTACATTTGCTTCTAGTCGTCCATTTAATAACCTCACCATAGATTGTGATTTCCTTTAATGAAGCCAGCGAAATTTGTAACGAAGATATTTGTGATAATTAGTTGCATTGATAATTTTTTATATAAATAAGGCGTATTTATAAAAAAAATTGAGTGTTGTACGTGTTAAAATGAAACGTGAAATTGTTGTCAATTTTATTTATGAAACGTGCCCTATTCTGTACGGAAGAAGGAATAAGAGTAGACCATGTTCTTTCCACCAATCAGAACCTGGGGAATTCACTGTGATGCTGCACCAACTGTCGAGATCTTAAATTGTTCGATATTTGTTGTGATGAATGAAATTGAGGATTTTATTTCGTTGATCGTAGTGTGATTTTCGTATTAACAGGTCTTGAATCGCTGGTAACTGAATCCGTCCCCATGACTCAAATACCCGCCTCCCTCGAGGCCTGCACTTAAACGCCCTTCGTGATCTTCAAAAATATTGAACTCGAAGCTGTTGATTCCAGCTGGCTGTATTTCGTGATATGCTTCAGGATAATTCTGGTAGGGACTGGGTTCATGAAAACTAGGGCGTTCGTAATTTATTTCAGGAATGTTATAAAACTTCACGTCGTCATACTGAGTGTGAATTCCATAATTATCTTTAGGGACACTGACTTTTTGAGTTTCAGGGGCGCTGACTCCATGTTGACTTGTTTTATATGTTTGTTGTTTGTCGATTTTGTGACTGTCAGGGCGTTGCTTGGTAAATAAAGACAGAAGTCTGATGGTGGATTGAGATAGAGGCAGACGGGCTGAACTAGGAATTTGTACGGGGACCTTGACAGGAACCTCGTCAGTATGTTTCACGACGGGATACGACTCCTTCTCATCAACTGTGACGTAGTAAGGTTTGGGAACGGGAACCGGAAATGGTTTGTGGACGACGACGGGCACCGGGACCTGGACTGGGTACGGCACGTGCTTGACGTACTCCACGGGATAAGGGTGGGGCACAGGTACGTGCACGTGTACGACCTTCTCGATCACGACGGGTCTGTGGTGGGACACTTCGGTGACGTGACTCGGCGGACCCCCTCCTTCTTCGCCGACCTCCTTCGATGCTTCCTGGATCGCATCTTGACGAAGTGCACCTCGTTTTTCCGGCTTCAACTCGACTGACTTCCGGGTTTCAGATGATTTCTCCGCTTCCTTAGTTTGCGATTTAGACAGAGATTTCGCTTCGTTTATCTTCCTTGTCTTGTCCTCAGTCGCCACCAGCACAAGGCAGAGATTCACAAGCAGAACACACGCCTATAAAGAAACAAGTCATTTTATATTAACTGAATAAATGTCGCTTAGGAACCATCGTTCATTTGCCAGTTTGTCTAAACTCGGCAGCTTTGGACCGTTGGCCACATTTCTGAATTATTTGTTACGGATGTCGTTATGGTTCTACCACGAATATCAGAATCCAGTATCTACAGATAGAAATAAATGCAAGTTTATAACACTGGAAACACCACGAGCAAACAGGAAATCGAATTGATTATATGAATGTCGCTGCTAAATCGTTCAGAAACATAGATTTATTTGGTTTGGCCATAGGAAGGAAAACACATAGAGTTATTTTTTTCTGGGAAATATTTCACTTGTGAGGTCATGGGGCAACACAAAGACTTTAACGAAAAGGTAAATGAAATCTTGGATGTGGCGAGAGAAGGAAGGAGAAATGACCTCTTCAAGGGAGGACATTCTTGGAAGCATTAGTCCTCCTTAAGAGATCTGTGCCTCTTTCCTAATTTGGAATAAAGTGTTTAGTGTTCACAGCCACTAAATTCCGAATCGCGTGTAGTTACTTCACCGTATTCTTCCCCAACTTCACTTTCCACTCTCAATAATTCCTTCTTCGCAATAAGGAGTCCCTGATTCGATTAATGGTAGCGGAAATGCTGTCTTGGGGTTTTTCGTGTTTTAACTGGACCCTTTGCAGTCGGCGGTGAAGATTTTAAATCGGTCTCGACCGACTAATTCGTAACTTAGCATTCAATTTGAACTTAACACTGAACTCAGTATAAACTGCTCATCTGATATCGACTAGGTAAATTAACTAAGGAGTGTCACTATTCTGCGCCAAACTAAATCACTCCACGTCGTCATACGCTACTTCAAAACGTCTCGCGTGTGCTCGTCTCCCTGCAGTCTTACCGACCACATTTTTATTTGCGACGCGTGCTACAAGCACTGCCAACACTTCGTGATTTCTATCATCCAATTAATATTTTTTGAATAGTACAAATTTATATATTGAGTTCGTGGTTTTGCTGTTTAACGGTGTTCTTTGCTTGTCTCAGCGCAGTGTTAAGTAGCTAGAGAGGTGATGAGAAGTGACGATTACTGTGGTAATGGTGAGTCGATTAATAAATTAATAGGGGAAACAGGACGA